GTCGGGCAGCATAGAGTTGTGAGGTTATCAGCAGAACAGTTTTGATATAAACAGCCTCAGCTTCCTAACTTCTTTAAAGAATGAAGCATAATTAAGATGGATTTTGATTTTGAAATGTATATTTAACTAAAGTTAAATTTAAAACCACCTAGCATGGTTTTAAAATGTGTCTGTGTGTTACCTTACTATTTTATACATAATTATTTCTTGAGCTTTATGTTGTGATACTAAGCACACAGGTGCTGAGACACATTTGACTTCTGTCGCTTCTGTTTTTCTTTCCTGTTTCCTCTTCACTCTCTTCTTCCTTGATGAGAGACCATTTGATTTGTTAATTTTCTTCTTGGGGAATGCAAACACGTAAAATAACTCAAGTCATGCTTTGTATAAATGGCACACATCTTGTTTTTCCCAGGACACAAATTGGTGCCCAGCCCATGCATGCTTTTGGTCTCATAAATGGGGCAAGGGAGGGGAATCTAGAAGCCCAGCTGGAACCCAGGCATCCTGACTCTGGGGACTGGGTTGCGTGGCCTCCTCAGCGGGATGTTGGCAGAGTCCATACCCATCTCCCAGGTGTCCACTCATCTTGCTAAACCTTGCTCTCAGTGGAATGAGTAACACTTTAAGACTCTGTGCCGCTCACCTGATTCTATTGCACTGAGATGCCGGGACTGGTGCAGTGATTCATGCTTCTTCCTGCCCGTGCATGGTGCAGAAGTTGAGGGTCAGGACCGCAGTGCCATGGAAAGTGGCCATCATGCTTCCCATGTGCCTCAGATCTGGGAGCAGCCTGCGCACTCTCCTTACCCCCACCCCACCCCAATCAATGAACACTTTCTGAATCTCCAGTCCCAGTGTTGGCAGCCCTCCTTGGGGCAGCTTCCCGTGACCAAGCCTTGTGTACCTTCCAACCCCTCGGTCGGGCTTAGCTGACTGTTTTTGTTTTTTACATATTTGGCTCTTCCATGACGAGTCCTTGAAAACCTATTCAAGTGGTGCAAGAACCATCTGTACTACAGACACCAGTAAATACATTTTACTCCCTTGAATTTAACCTCTTTCATAAGTTCTAAACAGAATGTGATTATAAATAAATGAAAAGTCTGAGCTACATAGTTTAAAAGCTATTTCAGTTTTAAAGTTCTGTAACCCAGAGAACAGTGTGTTACATTGTTTCTAGCTCATAAAACTGGGCTGCCTGTAAGTGTGGTCTTTACAGGACAATTATTGACTACAAGATGAATAAAAATAGACCCAGAAACTTGTGAGAAAAATCAGAGTAGCCCTAGTCTTACACATAATTAAATCTTCAAGAGAGTGGAACCAGGCTCAGACAGCTGGGCGACCATGTGGATTAAACTCCCTCATCAAATCGCACATGGGGTGTAGAAGTTGTTTGGTAAAAGGCACCTGGCCCTGTAATGTGCTGAGTTGGTCCTCTTGGGTTAGATGTTTAAGTTTTTCCAACTTCCAGAAATGTTTTCTACAGGAGATCACAAATCACCTTGCTTTATCTATTTGATGCATTTCTGATTTTTAAATGCTAAACTTTTAGATTGGATGTAAGGTAGATGTAAGAAGGCCTGTGTGTGTAGTTCTGTTTTATCTTAGAGATCTGTTCTCCTACCTGCCTTGTATGAGACTCTGCACCTTGAACACTCCTTAAGATTAGGTGTTAACATTATCTTAGATCTTAAAAGCCAAATTACTGCCTCCGTTGACAGCATTCGCAGATTGGCTGTTTTGCGGTCTTTATATCTTCCGTGTGTCTGCTTTCTTCTGCAGTGTTCATCTTGTTTATACTGAAGTGAAAACTGTCATGGGTAAAACTTCATTGGAAAACTTCAAGAATACTTTGGGGGAGCTAGTCATGTGGACCTTGTATTCTGAGGAGCCTGCCAAGTCCTTGATATTCTAAGCTGTTCCCCACCAAGCATTCATGTTTGAACAACTGCCACCACTGATGAAAAAAGAAAGAAAAGAAAAGAGAAATCCCTGGGCACTCTCCTTAAGCAGCTCAGTAGTCTTGGAGTTGCTGGGAACCCATAGGTGCCTCCGGAGATACCCGGATTCCTTGCCTTTAATTGCGCTCATCAGTCAGATAAGACAATTCATAACTACTTGGCCCAGCGTTTTAATTTTGTCTGTTAAATTATTCATGGGAAGAGCTATATAAATTTATGCCAGCCTTTGATGATTCTCATTTACGTCCAATTAAAGTATAAAGGAAGGTGGAGAAAATTTCTTCTTCTTAATATGAGACACACCTTTCCTTGCAGACTTACTGACACTGTCAGGCAAACATTTGATGTGACAGAGGTCAGCGTGTGCCTGTTCTGATGGTTTAATAAGTGCTCTAATAATAATCTTCACCATTTGGGGGAAAAACACTGTAAGTCTGTAGTTTACAAGGGAGTTGGCATTTAGAGGGCTACGTGGTTTTCCAGGAGTTGCACAGGATACAGGTGCCTGAGATTGGATTTGTGACCTGGTCACCATTGCCACCTTGATGCTTGTCTCAGTGAGCATGATCGGCAGCACCAGCCTCTGTGCTGTCTCTGCCTGCATGCCCACCTGTCACCAGGGCAGACTTGCTATGCGGATACCCAGCGTGCCCCTTCCTGGTATGCACGCAGGTACTCGCGGCCTTTGCCTGCTGTGTCTTAATAGGAAACAGTGCACAGCTTGCAGGCTTGTTAAGTGCGGGCAGCTAGATGTCAAATTGGTTACTCATGTAAACCATGGACTGTACCTTCTGGTAGCTGCTAATGATAAAAGTAGGGAGGGAAAATCATAGGACCAACCAGAGACCTTTGAGTTCCTCTTGAACTTAAACGAAATAAACCATCCTACTCTGCAGGAGGGAAAAACTTGCTAAGTTAAAACAATGAAGACATGGAGCAGCTATAACAATAATTAGATTTAGAAATCCTGGACATAGACAACCCCAAAACATTGGAATTATTTTTACCCAAGTTAGGTAGCTTCCATAATGATCCTTCTAGGTCTGCATCCATCAGACCACAAATTGGTGTTAACTAGAATTATTACCCCATGAAAATATCAGGAAGCGCACGTCTGTATGTGAAGAACGGTTGCCCTGAGCCTCATGTTACACTTTCTGAGCATTGCGGCCTCTCTGTGGGGGTTGGAGTCAGCATGGCCCATGCATTAAATGCGGTGGTCTTGGAGCCCAGCGGAACACATCAGAACCCCTGGAAAGCTAAACTCACTTTGTCTGTAGTGGAGCCTGGAAGTCAGCATTTCAGCCCTGTTTCCAGGTGACTGAGGTGTGTGTGGCTTACAAATCACCTCTTGGATCCCTGTATTTTTATAGCACACAGTGACGGGGTATTACACAGTACAAGTTCACTTAGTGACTGTTGCCTGGGCGCCTCGTCCAGGGCCCGGGCAGTTACAACCTCCCCCTATCCCATTTTGCCTCCTGCACTGCTGTGGTCAGTGGCACCTGCTGCCCACCTCCGTGGGATTCACATAATTCATGGTGCCTGTTTGCATCTCCTTTTTGAGTTTAAACATTCACATCTTAAATTCCCACCCTTGGATGCCTCTGAAGCTCTGCCTGCTTTCTAGCATTCTGGAGGCGCTCACCACTTGGCACTGGCATCTGCACCCCTCTGTAACAATGCCTGTCTCTGTGTTGGGTGTTTCTTTATGTTTTCAGTTCAGTTCCTCTATTGTGTTAATTTTGTTGGGGAGGGAAACCAAATAGTCCAGAGCCTGCCACACACAGAGTCTGAAGTCCGTGTCTCAGGACTGCCACAGTTTGGTTCCCATCTGTGTCCCATTCCGGATCCATAGCCCCATTATGAGGTTGTGTAAGAAGCACTCATCTTCCAAGTGGTCCAGCTGCCCAGGAAAGACCTTGGTGGCTGCTCTTCTAGTAACCGAGTTTTACTTCAGTATGTGTGAGCGTGACAGTCCGCCCAGTGTGTCTGTTTTTTCCTAAGACTGCTTTTCTTCTGAAATACTTGGTGTTGGAGTTTGTTTAGGAAGCCCCTTGGGGCAAGCTGCTGTCATTCATGGTGAAAACTGGTCCCTGTGTGAGACATGGTGTAGGGGACAGCCCTAGGTCTGCCTGGCTTTTGATTGACTTCTTCCCTCACTGGTCCCATGGAACCAGTTACCCCACAGCGTGTATACAGAGACTTTTTGCAGAATCCTCCGCAAAGGATTTTTGCAGATTTTTGGTGATTTTTTGCAGATCACCAGAGCACAAAGCAGGATTTTCCTCTAAATTTTACCCATGTACTTTTGTGATGACAGGACTGTTTTCAGAGTTGCTGGGTCCCACAGAGGAGAAAGAAGGGGACACAGGACTGCCAGGGTCTCCAGGGAAGGGGATAGCTGTGGTGGCATGGGGGCCCTGACTGAGGGCTGACAGCTCCTCTCCACCTTGGCTGCACAGGAGGAAGGAGCAAGAGGGGCTGCTGCAGGCTGAACCAGGGGCAGCTGGGTGGCATGGCTTTGCCCTGAGACCTGAATTGTTCACAAGCAGGGGATTTCTCAGGAGAGACTTCAGGTTGAAAGTTAAGAGGGAAAGATGACAAGAAGAGCGGGGGAATCTAACCAGGGGAACAGGTCTCCTGTACCCCTCACCCCGCCTCCTCTGAGCCCTTTGGGGCTCAGAGAACCTCCTGCAGCTGTTGTCTTTGAGGAATTAGAATCTGCATCTAGGTATTAGGCTTCATGGCAGTCACTGGCCCATTTTGTCCCTCTGCTATCAGGAGCAAGATCAGAGCTCCATGTTGGGCTTGTGTCTTACGCCACCATTAAACATCATCTCAGAGTTTTGCCTTCTAGAGCAAGGACACAGGAGGACCACATGTGGCCCTTTAGGTGCCAAACTGAGCATGCGTGGTCTTCTGAAAGGGTCGCTATAGAAAAGTCACCATTAGAAGAGCCAGGCAGGTGTTGGGAGCCACATCCTCCTGCACCCACAGCCCACTCACCCGAGTGTCCTTTTCTGGCTGCAGGTGTCTCTCCCGTGGTGACTTCACCTCCACAAACCGCGCCTGCACTGGTCCGTGGCCACCGGCTGCTCCTGGTGCAGATGGCCGTGCTCCTGAGGAAGCAGCTGCTCTGCACGTGCAGAACCTGGAAGAGCACGGCCTGTGACCTGCTGCTGCCCGTCCTCTTCGTGGCCTTGGCCATGGGCTTGTTCATGGTGCAGCCTCTGACCACTGACTACCCTCCCCTCCAAATGACACCAGGCCACTATGAGAGGGCAGAGATGTACTTTTTCAGGTAAGAAATGCACTCTCCTTTACATTTCAAAACTTGTCCGGTGGGTTGTGAGAAGTGTTTTGGACTGAGTGTGTTTCCCTGAAATGCACGTGTGGAAATCAGCTCTCCAGGGCAGACACCATACTAACAGGGTGCTTGGAAGCTGAGTAGGTCAGAAGGGTGGGTCCTTTGTGAGTGGGATTGTGCCCTCTGAAGAGACGACAAGACCAGCTGGAGACCGCCTTTCTTCCCTGTTGGGATATTGTTAAAGAAACATTCACTACAGCAATAAAATTTGGTAAAGACTTCAAACAGAACAAAGCAAAGCAGAAATGACTTATAAGAGGAGCAGTTCCCAGAGCCAGTCAGGCACTGAGAATTGCAGACAAGGATGTGAGCAGAAACCTTGTCTAGAACAACAGACACAAGGCACAGAAGATGGTTTCACTGCCTCTCACATGGTAGGTAAGATACTCAGTTGTGTACGGCTTGAGAAATCAGCCCCAGAGCTGCCTGTGACCAGCAAACCTCAGTCACCGTGGTTATAGTTTGCATGGGCTTTGTGTCTTGAGCCCAGGGCAGGGCCTGTCCCAGCCATGGCTGTGCATCAGTTTTATTCATGACACTGTGGGTTCCATGTGAGTGAATCAGGTGGCTGTGACCCAGAAGAAGTTCCTGTGGAACCTGGCCTGGGACTCTTGGTCCCTGACTTCTATCCTCCAGGGCTATGGGATACGAGTTTCTGTTGCTGAGAAATCTCCCAGTGTAGAGTCTTTTGTGAGAGCAGCCTGGATGAAGACAAACAGCAATAGTTTTAATGTTCTTAAGGATTTCAAATAACAAACTTCTTTTTTTTTTTAATTTGAGGAGAATAAGGAAAAAAACACAGAAAAAGACAAGTAATACAAAATTTAAAAAATAAACAGTAAGAAATCACATAGATTACGTATTCTCATCTTAGAAATAGTTGTTCAAGTTACAAATTTGAAGCATATAAAGTGGACTTTCAAAACAGTTAGAGTGCAAACAGTTTTGTTCAATGATCCAAAAAACACTCAGTAATATGGTTATCTATCTTACACACTTAAACATATATGCAGTTATAACCTTTAGATCAGTTTCTTTTCTTTTGTACATGACAATTACACATTTTGGGTTTTATTACTCCCACAGTTCTTACTACTTTTTTTGAAGAGAGTAAAACCAAATGTAACATATCAGAACAGAGTCAGTCAAATCAAAAGGATGGACATAATAATGTAAAAACAAAATATAAGGTGATCAAAAATAGTTACCATACTGCCTCTTGCTATTTTAAGAAGAATTGACAGTTATAATGAAATTGAACTAAACAGTAAAGAATAAAACCAAAGCATTGGAGACATTACAGGATTTTAAAAGAAAATAATAGTCAACCGGAATGGGCATTATAATGATTTTTATTGTCTTCACAGTTATGCCTATACTTCGAACTTGGTACTATCAAGCAAAGCAGAATAGAGGAAAATCAGTCAAAACAAGATGGTGAGGGCAATACAGGATTTCAAATCAAGTTAATAGGAAATCAGAGTAAGTTACTATAATGTATCCTGCTATTGTTTATTTATTTTTCCCTTAATTAAAAAAATAAAAAGAAAAAAGTAAATAATTTTAAAAAGGGGGATTGAGATGAAAGAGGGCGTAACAACAGAACAGCGCAGGTCAAATCATAACCACTTAAGCAAAATAGTGTTTCACCACAAGATATCCTGACATAGAAATAGTTACCATAGTGTCTGTTTCCTTAAAATCTTTGAGTATAACTTCTTATACTGTAGCACCAAACATATCAAGACACTGTAAAACCATTCAAGAGGATGACATTATTACAAGATATTTCGAACTAATTGACAGAAAATGAACAACGGTTTCTATATGAACTCCTTGTCTATAAAAGTTTTTGCTTATATTATCATATATAATAAAATCCAATAAGATACAACCTTTTAAGACCAGTGGAGACAGAAAAATACACGTTTGATGGGACTTCTAAACAAGATGATACTAAATCAGCACTAGCTATTATGATGTCTTGTTTTCTCCAAAATTGCTGTTCCTACCTTCCAATCTTCTCTGCCTCATTTCTGTTAAGCTCTTTTTCTGTCGTTTGTTGTCAGTTTGTCTTCTCCATTTCGTTTTCTGCTCCATTCATTGTGGCCTCTCTGCCACTATTTCTGACATCTTGGTATTTTCCTTTTTTTAGACTATCCTGCAGTATTCTCTGTAGAGTTGAATTAGTGGTTGCAAATTCCCCTAGTTTCTCTTTATCTTGGAAGCACCTTGTTTTTTCATCAATTTCTAGGGAAAGTTGTGCAGGATATATCAATCTTGGCTGGAGGTTATTATTTTTCAAAGCTTGAATTATTTCCCCCCACGCTCTTCGTGATTTGATGGTTTGTGCAGAGAAGTCTGCTGTAATTCTGATGGATGTTCCCTTGTCAGTGATCTGTTTCTTGTCTCTGATGGCTTTTAATATTCTGTGCTTATATTGGATTTCTGGAATTTTGATTATTATATGCCTGGGTATTGCTCTGTTTGGGTTGTAGGCAGCTGGAGTCCTGTATGCCTCATAATATCTGAGTATCTTTACCATTTGTCAAATTAGGGAAATTCTCTTGGATTATTTCTGTGAATAGCTCTTGTAGTCCATTTGTTTGTGTCCCCACTTCTTAATTTTTGTATTATTGCTGTTTGTTTTTTTGTTACTTTTAAGGTTTTTCATTTCATGCTCGCATATTACAATTCTGCCCTCCAGTTCAGATAATCTATCCTTAGTTTCTTTCAAGCTGTTATGCCAGTTTTCAATAGAATTTTTAGTTTCCTGGTAATCTCTTTGAACCTGCTTTATGTATTCTATGTTTTCTCTGTCTTCTCCATGAAACAATTCTCCCCCCTTTTTTTGTTCTTCCATTCCACCATCTGTTTTTTCTTGGGTGGTGCTTAGCATTTCTCTATTCTACTTATGTCTTGCTTCAGGTCATTAATAACTTCATTCCTGAACTTGTCTATGAGGCTCTGGAGATAGCGCTTTATGTTTATTGGTGCCGTGTCTACTATTGCATGTTTCTCAGGATTGGGGCCCAAGGACCCTTTCTTGTTGCTCCCTCTTCCCATATTCTTTGTTCCTTATATTTAAGCTTGTATAGGAGGCCCACCTTCCTTCCCTGTTGGCCACAGTCTGTTTGAATTGCACCGGCTAGGTGTTCCTGCCCACCGCAGTGGCACCAAGGAGACACAGACCTGGGTAGCCTATGGTGGGCCTGCCCCTCCAGGTCAGCCTACCTCAGGCTTCATGGCTAGGGTGCACCTCTAGGCACTGGGACAGCAGCATCTGACAGGCCAGGCACTCTCCACCAATCCCACTTGAGAGGGGGATATGTGACTGAAGTCACTGCAGCTTCTCGTTCCGGGTAGTCTGCCCGGTCTGAGTATGTCCTCCACTGAAGCCTCCTTCTCTATGGAAGGGTCCCGGTTGGCTCACTCACTACGGGTTGACGCAGGGCACCTGGCCAGTCCTGCTCTGAACTCCTTTCAACGCTTTCCACTCCGAGCTTTTGCACCTCTCTCCACGATGTGCCGACCGGGATGAAACAGGAGCTGCAGGTAATTCAAATTTCAGTTTCCAGTGGTGCGGGTCCAGCTTCTGTGCTGAGACCTTATCTGTGCCTGCTATATCACCAGGATTGCGTTTCCAAGTGGTTTCTCTTAATTTAGTTTGTTCCTGGGTCAGCAAAGAATATCCCACCTTGCCTGGGACTTCCTGCCCGGCACCATTCCTAGATTTCAAGTGCGGTTTCTCAGAGAGCCTCAGAGGCTGCTGCTATCTATCCACCATGTTCTTCCGGTTCCCAAATAACAAACTTCTAGTGTGAAGGCTGGGGTAACAGAGTGGTGGTAGTGTTTACCTTATTCGTGAGAAAGCACTGGTTTTTATCACCAACACGGGAAAAAAACTACTATGAACACTTTCCCTATTTCTGAGGTCAGAATTTGCAGAAATACGTTTTGGGAAGCCTTTGCGCCTTTTAGGCTGCCTCACAGCAAATGTGTAGACCAGTGGGGCCACTGGACCCCTGGCCCGCATGCAGCTGGCTCCTCACGGTGACAGCCCAGAACCCCTGATGAACAGGACGTGAGGCCTGGCATGCACTGCCTTCCAGGCCCTGATCAGAGGTCAGATTTAGGATTTCAGCAAAGTCTATAAAGTGTGTGCTCTCCTCCTGTCCCCAAGTCACCTGTAGGCTGACAGCAGGTTCTGCACACACTGCTCTGCAGAGAGCCTTGTGCCTCACACATGGAAGCTATAAACGTCTTTCAACCAGGGAACATCAGGGTTTGCCCACCAGAAATCCAGAAGAGCCCAAGTTGAGCCACCAAAGAATCAACTCAAGACCCTGCCAGAGCTGTAAGTTTATAGATTTGGGGTTGAAAGACTCTGAAGGAGGGACCTCGATCATTCATTGATATCAGTAGCCTCAGTTTGGCTGAGTTACTCCAGATCCAGCCTTCACTACTTTCTCTTGAGAACTAATTCAACACCAGGAGAGCAGCATGAATCCCTTCTGAGACCGAAACCCTAAGGATCCAGCTATATTCCGGCAAGACCCATGCCTTGAAGGTTTTATCACCTTAGCATCCCCAGACTAGGACCAGAAGCCTGGCACATGAAGTTCAGGGAGACCCACTCAAACCATTTCCAAACCATAGCAATATGCAGAGAAGCGAGGCCTGTCTTGAGAGAGTTCACATTCAGGTTGCCAGGCAGATGGGGGGTCTCGGAACTGTTGTGAGATGCTTGTTGCAGCAGTTGTACCTAAGTTGCAGGAGGTACCATTTGAGGGTGTAAAGGACGACTTTTATAAAACCACAGCATCTGTGAGAATCTGCAAAGGTCAATATGTATTTCCCAGGCAAACAGGAAAGAAAGATTCTTCTAGAGCAAGGAGTGGGCAAGTTCTTCTAGAGGGTAAGCCGGAGAAATGAGCGCAGTTCAGGAAGTCTTGGGGCTTCCTGAAGATGTCATGAAGCATTTTAAGTAGAAGAGCCCCGCTTTTTCAAACTGAGAGGAGAGAGGTTAGGAAGTCTTAAACTCTAGGGTGTGTTATAATGGGGTTTATTCTTACAGCCTCCAGGCATGCAGGCTAGTCTGGAGCACTCCTCCTGATTCTCTTTCTTCTTCTAGGCAACTGTGATATGTAAGATTCCTTCTTTATCCTTGGAGAGGAGAATTCTTTCCTTTTTGAAACCTTTTCTGCAGCAGACTTGCAGACTTCATTCTTTACTGAGATCAAGCCAATTTTCCTCTATTGTTGATATAATCATTTCCTCACATCCATTTCCCCTTGTCTCTTGTTAGAATGCCTTTTTACATCTCATGCTATGATCTCCCAGTCCATCTTTCAAGTTCTTTATCTTGCCTTGAAGATTTCTTTGTCTTTCCTTTTGTCACTGTGATATTTCTCCCGTGACACTTTTTGTATCTCAATGGTGACTACTCATTTTATTAACGTTTTTACTTTTATATTCACAAGGCTGTCCTTTCTAGGTTTAGAAAGTCTTATGCAGGTGTATGAGTCTCAACTCTTTCTCATCTCTAAGTAGTTTTTGTTGTTAAATTGTGTATTCATCTGGTGAGTGTATATTTAGTAAGCATCTACACTGAGTGTTCCTAGGATGCCTTGTTCCTAGGATGGTGGTCCCCTGTGCTGCTTTGTCAGATCTGATAGGATGTCACTGTGGACAGGAGGCAGTTCTCAGAGCTGGAGACAAAGCACACACTGCCTCTGTTGGGCACAGGTGGTTGAGGGACCTTCCCCCGTGTAGCTGAGGCTCCTTTCTGCTTTTCATAGCTTCCCTTATTTCAGAAACGTGAAGGCATCAACTCCTCCGATAAATCAGAGGAGGCCAAGGTCAGCATCACTGGAGATCTGCAGGACTCTGAAGGCCACCCTTGTACTCCAGGATTCAGCTTATAATCACAGAAGTGATGACCTAAACAACCTCCACCTGATAGATTTCTCCAAAAGCCTAAAATGATGGTGAACCTTTTTGATCTTTCATAATACAAACAGTTCGCTAGAGGATGGGTGCTGTAGGTCACCACCACTGTCTGTCCTAAGAGTTCTCTGGGTGTTTACCAAGACCAGAGCTGTCTTGCCACCTGCATGGATGTTGTGAATACTTGTAATAATTTATGTCCCTGTGACACAAACAGGGCTTGTTGCACTAGGGCCCCAAATCAGAGCAAAAAGATTTTGTATGGAAGCCGCCGTTCCATCCATCCACAGATGACTGGAAAGAAACACACTGTTGCACAAATGGAACACTACTGTGGCCTAAAGAAGGATAGGCACAGCCATTTGTAGGAAGAGGAAGGCACTCAAGACCACATTAAGTGAAATAAACCTGACACGCAAATTTAAATATCACATGGTTTCTCTAATGTGAGAAACTCAGATGATAAAGAGCAGAATGAAGGATAGATAATAGGAAACTACTTACCAAAAGGGAATGGATCAAGGAATGGAGGGACAGGGAAAGAAGGGAGGGGGAGGGGATGGACAAAGAATGAAGCTGTGATGCACACGCACCAGCTCCGCTCTGGGGAGGTAAACTTTACAATGCAAACATGGCCTAATAAAAAGTAGCACAGTATTTGCATGAAATGTTCCTGCGACTTCCTGTGTGCCTTAAACCATCTCCAGATGACTGTCATGTCTGGTACGATGTAGCTGCTAGGCAAACAACTGTGCTCTCTGTTGTTTAGGGAATGGTGACAAAGGTCAGTTGTCCACACCATGCAGAGACTTGGTTGGACACACAGAGCCATGGATACAGAATGTTTTACGTGCAAATAGTTCAAAAACTCAGAAGTCTGACTCCTCTCTGGGTGCTCCTACAGCTACTGGAGCCCCACTTTGAACCCTGAGCAGGTTCCTCTCTGCTCACTTCCCTTTTGGAAGCGCTGAGGGAATCCTCTCCCTTGAGATCCCTCAGCGGTCCCTCAGCTGAGCATTACGTCAGCTCTGACCTGCGGCAGCACGTGTGTCCCTCTGTGGTCTCCAGGGGTGAGTCCGCAGAGATCCTGATGCTGACATAAAATGGAACAGTACCTCTTTTTAGGCTTCCCAGCAGCCTGGGAGCCTGGTGTAACTCCCTCTTTAAAATTCCTCCTTGGCAAGTTTGGGAGTTAGGGGAAAGTTTCAGTGCTGATTTTCCCTCAGCCTGGGGGGGTGGTGGTGATGGACTCTAGATGAGGGGGACAAATACTTATTGCTTTCAATCAGTGACATTTGCCACACTGCTGAGTTTTCTGAGTCCCCTGCATATCACAAGATGTGTCACACACATGGGCACCCTGTGGGCTGTGCAGGAAGCCGGCCTCTGTAACACAGCCCCAGACACCAGCCTGGCTGTTCCCGCATGGCTTCCTTGCAGCTCTGCTGCCATCTCCTAGTGTCTGTCACGTGTCCTGTGGTCCCTGGCCTTTGCTCCTCAACGCTAGGAACTTGTACACCCAGCACTCGAGCAGTTTCTGGCGGATCAGAAAGCGTGCATTCCAGGAGCTACCATCATGCATGGATATACGTGTTGTGTTGCTGTGGTTGGCACCCAGCCCGTGTCTGCTGAGTGAATGAATGCATGAATCCCTTGGCCCCGGGTAGGGAGGTCACATTCCTGTCCCTTTGTCTCACCTTTTCCAGTGGGTTCAGGGAGCCACTGGAAAATCTCTATTCAGAAAAATCTCTATCAAGCTTAAGACGCGCCTTTGAGTCCCATGTCTGCTGTTTTGGGAGTGTAGTCAGTGCTGGGATCAGTGGAGACCTGCCTGAACCAGCTCACAAGCCGAAGGTCCAAACCCCATGGGGCACTTAATACACGCAATGGAGGTGTAGGGTGTGGGGGGAATTCCACAGGGAGGGGAGTCTCGCCCGAATCTGGTCCCGACACCTCCCAGGACCAGGTAGTAGGAGACTGGAGAAAGAAGGGAGCAGAGAGGATGATGAGCCGAGGGGACAGTGGAGTCGAGATGGAGACGGCTGCAGGCCCTAGAGTAGTGGGCTCCTAGCAGCGTGACCTGAGTCCAGCGCAGCGCTGTGGTCACTGCCATGGCCACAGGTGACCGTGTTTGTGCTGGGGCACCCCCTCTGTGCTGTGGCTAACGTGGTCCTGCCCCAGGCCGGGCACAGAACTGTGTGATCCCTCTGACCATTGCAGCTCGCGAATGTCCCCTTGGTGCCGTCTTGTGTCCCATGTGCCTGGTTGGACACTGACACTGTGTTTACTATCAACAGCCTTGGTGGCTGGTCTTTCGGAGTGCGGGTCCTGGGCAGAGCTCAAGACGTGAATGGGAGCGCCATAAAACCAAGACCTCCAGCAAAGGTAAGAGTGCTTCTCCCCTTCTCTCTGTTTTAGAAAGTAGAGAGATTAAAAACCCAATATAAGCCGAGCCCAGCAGCATAGGCCTACAGTCTCAATGCTTTAGGAGGCTGAGGCAGAAGGATGGCAAATTTGAGCTCAGCCCGGGCAACTTAGGGGTGACTGAGACCCTGTCTCAAAATAAAAGGCCTGGAATGCAGCTCAGGGTGAGGACTGGTTCCGTGTCCAGTAACAAAACTAACATCGACGTCAACAGCAACAATCACAGCAGCAGTAACAGCAGCAGCAGCAGCAGCCAAAGGTGTTTCTCAGCCGAGTTGGAGGCAGGGACAGATGCCATCCCAGGCTGGGACTGAGGCTGCTTGTGTGTAAATGTCCCCTTGAAAGAGAACATTGAACTGTGGTACTTTCGGGGGTTTAGAAGTAGGACAAGTGGGTTACTGCTCCTTTATGGTCAGAACAGGACCAGCAGATGTGACGTGAGTGGGAAGCACGCCTCATGTTCAGTGTTCCCATAGTCGCATTAACTGGGTATATCACTCTTACCCCCTGTGGCCTAGGAACATTTGTATATAAACTTGAACTCCTCATCTTAAAGGAAGCTGAGTGGATGCAACTGACACACAGACAGAGGCAGTGACCCAGGACCGCTCTTGGGAGCCCTGGGCAGGGCTCTCCTGCACATTAGGAAATTTCCTGAGGGCCTTGCAGAGAGGAGGTGGGAGGGGTAGGACTGCGGGATGGGGGGATGGCAGACTTCACCTGCAGGGACAGAGGCTGGAGAGCAGGTCTTCCCAGGAGAGAGATCAGCACAACCCAGAAGGATGGGCAGAGATGACCTGAGCAAGGCTTTCAATCCTCAGCCCTAGGGAACAGTGTGGTGATGCCTGGGCACACACTGGAGAGGACAAGGGGACACTGGAGAGGATGGTGTGAGTTTAGCTAGGCCAGCAGTGCAGAAATGGCCCACAGCCCTGTCTTTGCTTAGCCCGGTGTGGTGCCTGCATGCAGGTTTATCACAAGAGCTGATGACACAGGGGCATCTCCAGGGGCCCAGAGGCCTCTCTGTGCTCCTGCGGGGATGTGCACCCTCCAAGTGGGCTTGCGAAGTTGAGCAGGATAAGGACCCACACACCTAGAGTTTCACCCAGGGGATAAATTTCCTACAGGCCCTTCCTGGAATCATCCCTGACCAAAACCTGCTCAGTCACGCTTGGTCATTTAATCCCAGAAGAAGATTCTAAATCACAGTGCAGAGGCTTAGGAAATCTCCTCTTCAGCTGAGGTCCCTGCAAACTGCTCTTCCTTTCAAAGCAGTGGAAAGACTCACAGCTCGGTGTGAAACTGGCATCATTCATACCTTGGAGAAAAACCATCCATGATGCATTTGCTTTGTGTTTTGGAGCATATTGCCCACCATTATTGACACAGACCTAACGTGTGGAAGGAATCTGTTTATTTCCTGGGTGCACATTTTGACTTTTCAGTCAAGTCACATCCAAAGCCATCTTAATTACAGTAGATGGCCGCATCTTAGTTCTGAGGGTAGGTGTCTTTCCCAGGGAAGGCTTGGGGCTCCCAGATTTCCCCAATACCCCTTCTCACCTTGGTTTAGGTAGCCCTTCTGCACCGAACCAGCTGTGTCCGAGTGCGATTTCTGCAGTGTTTCCTAGTGTCTGATGTCTTTTGCCAGGTGCAGGCTTGTGAATGAGTTGCATGTGGATCTCTGAGGCTTTTTCCATAACTCAGCTTTGCAAGTCATGTTTGGGGTTCTTGTTGGTGCAGGCTGCCCTCACTGGGATTTGGAGAATATTAGGGGAGCCGGAAGCAACACCTTGCAAGCTCCAGGCCTCTCTGCCCCAGCAACATCCCCTATCACCATCCTTCTCTCAGAAATCTTAACAAGTGCTCAGAGCCACACCCTGGATCTTGGCTCTGAAGCCGTCCGTTGACTTTTCGCCTAGGAATCCCCAACCCAGAATTACAGCACACATGTTCTAGTTCAAAGTTGACATTTTAGGTAGCTATTTTATTATTTATTTAGTTAATCAAACTCAGGACCTTGCCCTTTCCAGGGAAGCACTTGGTAACAGCTATTTTAATGCTGCCCAGTACGGGGCACCAGGTTATAGTTGCCCACAGCAGTTTTCTTGGCATGTTTTTTTCAGCATTCCCACAGGTTTTATCAACTACCTCTAAATTCATCGAGTGTCTTTCGGTCTGCTACTTGTGGACCTTGAAAGCAGCGATGCCCATTCACAGCTTTTGTGACCCTAAGGCACCTGTTAGTGTTCTCATTGCATGTGTTGTCTCTCACCACAGCATTGCTGTGTGACAGGGATTGGGAACCTCAGAGGCCTCAGCACTACACACCATGTATTCAGCAGCCTGCAAGGTTCAGCAGCGGTGGGCAGCCGGGCCACCTTAGCTGCTAAGATCTGTGCACATACAAGGTGGAAGTGGATAGGTCCCAAGGGGACCCTTGCATGTCCAGAGGCTGCATGCACAGAGGTCAAAGTGGAGAGAGAGAAAAGGAGAGAAGGAGAGGGAAAGGGGGAGAGGGAGAAAATAGGACAGGGGGAGGGACAGAGGATCGCTCAATGAGATGGGTAGGTTTCCTACAGGGAGAGTTAATCGTTGGCTTTAAACCAAGAAACACAGGTTTCAGATGGTCACTCTGAAGGACAGTTCCCTTGCATGTCTGCCCTGTTCATGTAGGACATGAGGGGCTGAGTATGCTGTCCTCTTCTGTAGGCTGCATCTTCCTGACTTCTCCCATAGGGTGGAGGTTGGCAGGCTGGATCAAGCAGGTTGGGGAGCCGGGAGGAGGCGAGGACTGGAAGCTGGGCAAGGTCCAGCTTGGTGTGAGGTGGGGTTCGGCTTAGCCTGTGTCCTGACTTCTGGCAGGGAGACCCAGCCTGTGCTCTCTCTTGGTGAATCAGAGGCCCAGGCAGGACCGCAGGACAGACACGGGCTTGTTAAACCCGTGCCAGTGTCACAGGCCAGGGGCCACAACCAGTCCGGTGGCAGAGCCTGGTCAGTCTGGAGGGGCATGAAATGCGCCTGACAGTGAGCATGGGAAGCCCAGGGACAAGAAGGCTTCTAGAGTGGGGCCCTCGGCCCAGGAGAGCAAGGAGGGGCGGGGTGAGGAGGGTGACCCTGTCCTCCCAGCTTCCTACCTCCCTTTCTGTGGGCCACTGTGCTGTGTCATTGTAAGTCAGAAAGAGGTCATCGGCTTTTAAAACAAAGATTAAAAAGACTGAAACAACACAAGTGGAGCAAACAAAACAAAATATGAATGCCTTAGTCCTCAGGCTAAGGCCAGCATTAGTTTTAGGATTTTTTTCCCCTCCAGCTAAATATTTAAGAAGATCAAGCTGTGTGTGGTGGCTCATGTTTGTAATCTGAGTACCTGAAACAGGAGAATCCTGAGTTTAAGGCCAGCATGGGATACACAGTGAGACTGTGGGGAAGGGTAAGTAAAAAGAATTAGAATGCGTTAGGTAAACCTGGCATGGTGCACACCTGTAATCCCAGCATTGGGAGGCTAAGGCAGGAGGATCACCATAAGTTGTTTGAGGGCAGTCTGGGCTATATAGTTAGCTCAAGGTCTGAACTGCATAACAAGAACCTGACTCAAAAAAACAGAACAAAAGCAAAAAGATGTGTTAGGTACATGTACTAGCTCCCCACGAGGAACGTTATCCTTTTGTACTACAAGCATGTACTAATCAAAATAGAAATAAGGCAGAGCATCTCAAATGGGGTCCAGGGAGAACCCAGCTTCCAGAGGCCAGAGTTTTCTAAAGGAGCCTGTCCTTTGTCTGTGAGTTCCAGAAGTAGGGTTCCTGTGTAGGCCTTCCTGGGGGCGGGCATGATGTCCAGGGAGACCATGAGGAGATGAGCTTCAGCTGTGTGGAAGGGACCTTGAGCTCTGCCTCTAGTGGGCGGAGCAGCTGGACCTGCTTCTGAGCTGTGAGTTGTGCTCCCTGAGTTGGGAGCTGTCATCTCTGCTGGAGGAGCTCGGCCCTTCCCCTCCTTTGCAGAGCTGTGGTTTCAGCTGCTTTGGATCTACTGCTTTTGTTCTCTGTGGTGTGGGGTCCACCCGCCCCAGCCCCACTCTGTAGAGTCTCACGGGGTGTCCTCAGTTCTGCACTGAGCACCTCTCCAGCTTCACTCCCTCCCCTTGGAGCTTAAAGGAGGCCTGTCCAGGACTTCTCTGTAGAGTTAAAATACTCAAGAAAGGGGGTCTCTTTTCTGAATTGCTGGAGAAGGTGAGCAGAGGAAGGGTGGGAGACTGCTGTCTCGCTCAGCAGCATCCAGCTTGGTTTTTAAAGGACCCTAGCATCTCTGATCACGTAGCTGTCCCAGGGACACAGTAGCTGCCCCCAGAGGATCTTGGATTAAGCACAGTTGGTCTTAGGACACAGTGCAAAAGGAGATTGCAGGTCTGGGTCACACCTTGTGTAAGCTTTGGTGACTCCTGAAGTGGCTGCACTTGCTGGGGCAGCATCAATGCCCACAAGTGGATCGTCCCTTGCAAAGATGGCACCGTGTAGGTGTAGGCTCATCTCCCGATGAGCGCTTTGGCAGGTGGATTAAGACCTGCTGTTCTGGTTGGTTCTCTGTATTTCTAGAGGACATTCAGGAGTCCCAGGCTGAGCACCGACTTTTCAGGAAAGCATGGAGATTTTGCCATGTAGGCAGTGATGGTTTGAGTAGTGTCTTTGTGACACTTAATATCCTGATTTGATAACATCCTCTCTCACTTCCTCCCGCACCTTGCTTCTTGCTAAGAGGTGCACAGCTTTGTTCTCCATGCTCAGCAAATGTTCGGTCCAATTTATTCTGAGGAATAATGTCCTCCATTGCATTATTAATTTGAAAGTCATTTTTTCCCTTCTGCTCATCTTCCACAGTTTTAATTTGCAGGTGAAATTTCATTAGCTCACCAACCGAGGAAGAGGAGAGGAAGAAAGGTGACAGGCCTCAGTTCCCTGTTCCCTCCGAGACTATGATTAGCGAGCAGCATTCGTATTTGTTCTGCAGAAAAATTAATCTATTTTTAGCTGTAAATTATATGCTTGAGATAAATATTAGCAGCTTGGAATTGACTGCTCAGTGTCAGCTGGGGGCGATGTCCCATTCTCAGGTGCTGTGGGCGCTGATTGACACCTGCAGTCCTGCACCCAGGAGAGACTGAGGAGCATGCATCTGGAGGACAGCACTAAAGCACCTCTGCTTTTCAGGTGTGGTTTAACCAGAAGAGCTTTCACTCCCTGCCCTCCTACCTCAGTCATCTGGACAACCTCTTTCTGTGGAGACACTTGCCCCTGGGGCATGGACTGGAGACCTTATGGTAAGGTTCTGTTGTGTGCAGTAGAATTGACTGCTTTCAAAAGAGCGGTGTCTTTTAAATGAAGGAGGCAGGGATGGTGTTGAGAAGGAGAACAAAGCATAAAGCGCAGGCTCCTGGGAGCCAGTCTGCAAGGGAGGACACTCAGGGGTAGGTGCTTCCTGCTTCCTGCTTCCCTGTCCCAGCTGAGTTGTCTGACTTTCCCAGAGGGACAAAAGCCAGGATAGGGATAGAATTTCTGTGGTTGTCTGATGTCTTACAGAAGCAAGAGAAACTCCCATTTTAAGGGCACCATAGTGTGGGATTCTGCAAAGGAGAACACAGATCCCTGTGAGCGACTGCTGTGATGTGATTTATGCAGGGGTCTCAGCCCAAGGTTTATCTGCAGGGATCAGTGTGGATTACCAGAGCTTTCTTATCTTGGTAAATGGCACAATGCAGAGTTAATTTATTAGTTGGAGGGAATCTTTATTTGCTTTACTTGAATGGGCAAGTTACAATTTATCTAGCAAATTTGGTTTTCTTTTAAAGACTGAAACAGGAAATGTTAGCATCAATAGGCCATATCCATCATAATTTATGTGCAAAACACATTTGTTGAAATATTAATTCACATAGAAATGGAGCTAAGGACAGTGATACCTCAGTTCACAAACTTAATTCTTCCCACGATTCTGGTCCCAAAATGAGGAGAGGAGGAGAGCCGAATCAAATTTTCTCCTAAGGTCCACCTTGAACCTAACCACTGAATTTGATTCGGTTCTCATCCGATTCAGTTTGTGACCAGAGTCCTGGAGAGAATTAACTTTCGAAACCAAGGCACCACGGTAATTACCCTAATACCCTTTAGCTTAATGTTCCTTCACTGTTGCGTATTTGTTTTCTCTTCCCTGTCAAACTATCTTTTCAGTGCTGGGGAACTGGCCTCAGAGCCTTGTGCACATCAGACAAGAGTTCTACCGCTGACTCAGCCCTGGTGATGTCCCATTCTTAACATAAATTCACTTGTGACACCTTAATGATTTCATAGCGATAACGGGTGATATAAAACATTTAAGATGCTGTGACTGACAGCAGTGCGAAGATGCACAGAGTCAGCTGGAGGAGGAAGGCGGGGGGACATGCCTGAAGGGCTGAGATGAACCAGAAACCCCGTGAGTGATTTAACACCCCCGGTTTAATTTTCATACCAGTTTTGCAGGATGAGTCATATGTGCCCACCTTGCTGGTTAGAAAGCTGATGTCCCGTGAAATCAGCAGCGGTGGTCCCTGCAAGTTAGTAAGGGGCGGTGACTGGATGCTAAGTCCTGCTAATGAGGATCCCTGGCCCCGCACTAGGTCACAGCACCAGCCCAGAGGCCTCCAGCAGGGCAGACACCTGCGGTGAGGAAGCTGAGCATGGGCTTTGGCATCACAAGGTAGGTCTTGTCTTCGCGACTGCTGGGTGTGGACCCCAGGACCTTACTCTTGCTCAGCACTCTGCCACTGAGCTCAGGCCCCAGCTCTGGCAGCACTTCGGGTTCAGACAGGGCAGAGGCCAGGCCGACTTCATCAGAGAGTATGCTGATCTCTCTGGAGAGATGGGTTAAGTCAAATTCTCCTGGACTGTGACTGACTGGGTAAGAAGGGTGGACTTTGACCATCGGGAGATGTCTTTCCAAGCATCTGAGGGTCTAAGGTGTGTGAGGATGGGTGGATCTGGAAGCTGTGACTGCGTGGGAAAGGCTGGTCCCAAAGCAGTGAGCCATTGGCCCGACAGCTGTTACAGTTCAGAGGTGACCCTGGCCAGACCCAGGTGAGTGTGGAAAGCAATGACAAGGGTCAGGCGGACAGAGAATAGGTTGTGGTGCTGGGGACGAGGGCAAGAGAGGATCTAAGAACCTGAAAGGGAGTCCCAGTCTTGTCTACTGAACAACTTCCTGCTCAGCCCGGTGGCCTTTTGGAAGCACCTTGGGGAAGAGCTTCTTGCAGGGAAGGGGACAGGTGGCCGGCACAGTGTCAGAGGTGGCAGCTGTGACTGCCCATGAAGGCGACTACACGCAGCAGGGGTTAGGGTGCTACAGAGAAAATCAGCAGTGAAGGCAATGGGGCCTGAACCCTCACCCTGACTCAGTCCTGATGGACTAAGGTGGTCAGTGAGATGCTTCCGAGGCAGAGATACAGAAGGTTGCAGAGGGCAGGGAGAGAGGAGCTGGACACCATAGCCCCAGAAGGGGGGCTCGGCCTGCAGATGGGCAGGGCGGAAGGAACAGGGGAGGCTTCAGGGTCACATTGGAGGGGAGAGTCCAGGCATCGGCTGGATCCACAGGGCAGTTGGACGGAGTGATGGAATGGAAATCAAAGAGGACATGAGAAAACTGTGTGTGTGTGCTCATGCACACATGGCATGTGTAGTAAGGAATAACGGAGAGCAGGCTGATGGGATGAAGAGGTGAGCATAATGGAACATTCAAAAGTATCAAGTAAATCCCGTTTGGCTGCCATGCCTGCAATCCTAGCACTGTTGGGAGGCTGAGGCAGGAGAATCGCATGTTGACTTAGAAACTTAGTGACTTAGAAAAACTCTCTCAAAACTAAAAGAAGGATTGGGAAAGCAGCTCAGTGCAAAGGCTGGGATCAATATGAGCTACCAAAAGAAAAGAGTAAAGTCAATTGATGAATTAAAACCTGGAAAAAAAGAGACTGAACCAAAAGGGAGGGGTTTATCTTGAGCCCCCTGGTGAGACTTGGGGCATGGGAAAGGAGGTGGAGATTCATGCCAGCCTGCTCTGCCCTCCACAGAAGGAAATGAGAGGAAGGAGATCAAGGTGGACCTGGACAGTTAGAGAAACCTGAAGCCAGTTGGGTGTTTCTGATATTGGAGAGAGAGCAGAAAAACATGAAATTATATCCAGAGGTCAAAACTGCTCCTTGCCCAAAGTACCCCACGTTCTTAGGGGTCGCCAACAGCTTGGGCATGGGCAGTGGGCTTGGATGGGCATGGAACCCTGATCCTCACTTTAGTGGCTCGGGTGAAAGAGGGTGAGGTGGGATGGAGGAGTGGAGATGGAGGCCGGTGGGTGGGGCTCTGCGGGGTGGAGGGAGGGGGACACAGGCACTGATGTTCCCCTGGGGCTGAGCAGCAGGACTTGCGTCAGCCAGGGTGCAGGAGCAGGGCCACAATGGCAGTTAGGGTGTGGCAGGAGAGAAAGGTCAGGATGATGGTGTTGATTTTGGTATCAGGAGTAGAACCCAGGTCCCAAAATGCGAAAAGCACGCGCTCTAGCACTGAGCTGCGTTCACAGCCCCAAAGGTCAGAATTTATGGGTCAAGAAGTTTCGGGACTTGTGGTTTAGTGACTGGAGAGAGGTGTGCAGAGTCAGGGGAAGCACCGGAGTGGACGGGAAGTCACGGGGTCTCCCAGGACGTGCAGGTGCACAGGAGGATGGGGCGAAGGACAGGAATGCTCCCACCACTCAGCAGCCCTGAAGGACGCGAGGTGCCCGGGCCAGCCCTGTGTGCGGGGTGCAGGGCAGTGAGCCCCTCCTGCAGAGTGCAGCATCCCAGGAGAGGAAGGGTGGGTAAAGAGCAGCAGGAAAGGCTGATGGTAGGAGGGGAGGAGAAAGGGGAGAGAGAAGGGTGGACTGGCATTGAGGTGGGTGCCTACCAGTCCACAAGTGGGGGGGACTCTGTGTACTGCAGACCTGAGCTAAGAAAGACAGACGGTGGCAAAGTCAGACAGCTCCCAGGCGTATTCAGGGAGGCCAGGAGATTTTATAAGACTGCAAGATTTGTTTATAAGATTTTATAAGAATGCAGGGGAACCCAGGTATGGTGGCTCGTTCTTTTCATCTCAGCCCTTGAAGATGCTGAGGCAGAACAATCATGTTTGACCCCAGTTCAATCATATTTACTGGCCTAGTCAGATCTCAAAAGAAGGGCTGGAGATGTAGCTCAGTACAAAGGCTCTGGGTTCAAATCCCTGTACCAAATGCACCTGAAGAATATAAGGCTAATAAGTTCTTTTCAGTATTGACCTTTAAAGTTGGGCTCTGCTCCCTTTATATCTCCTCTCAAGTCAAATCAGAAGCGAACAAATACGTACACTGAAAAATAAGCACAAGTTCATAGTATAAAGTGCACAGAGATCTGAAATAATGTGGCAGAAAGTAGCATGAGATATTAAGAATCAAACAGCTGTCTTCCTTTTAAAATGTCAGTAACTGACTGAGACTGTCAGCCCCTTTCTAGGCACCTGTCTGGGGTCCAGCTCCTCCCGTGCACCCCAGTTCTGTTTGCCCCCATCAGTGTCCAGGTGCTGCCCCTCCCCATCCCTCAGCGATGTCCCACCATGGCCCAGCTCCGTGGCACATCTTATTCTGTCGTGCTTCTCCCATGGTTGCTTGTCTCTTCCTCTGTGAAGAAGATGTAATTCTGTTTGTCTGGTTTTACTGTTGTTCCTGTGTTGTTTGAGATCTTTGCCAAGTGTAAGGTCATGGGGTGCTTCTCCCATTGTTTCTCCTAGGGTTTCCTAGTTTAGGCCTTACCTTTAAATTTCCCAGCCACCTTGAGTTGCTTTTTGTGCATGTGGAGAGATAAGGAATCAAGTTTCTTTTTTCAGCATGTGAGTAACCAGCTTCTCTAGTACCATTTATTGAAGAGATTTTGTTTTTCCCAAAGTGTGATCTGAATGCTTTTGTTAAAAGAAATCAGTTGAATGTAGATTTGTATCTGGGCTCAGTTTTTTGTTCCCCTGGCCTGCAGGTCTCTTTCTCTGCTAACTCCGTGCTGTTGGAATACTTTTCTTTCTCAGTCCCCTTGGGGCTGCAGCTCCAGGGTGCTGTGAGCCCCAGGGAGGCTGGGGTGGGTCCATGTGTGCTCAGGTGATGGGCTGGAGGTGAAGTGGGCCGGAGGTGAAGTGAATTCAAGCACGGCGGTGCATGATGTGTTTTGCATCACTTTCAAGAAAGCAGATGAACTCTCCAAGAGTGAAGGCCAGGTCAGAAGGAGAGGGGTCACCCCAG